GCGATTTCAAAGTCAAAAAAAGTCTCTCGCACATGCTCTCCCTCCATGTCTTGCTCTTTATTCCACGGTCCTTGGAAACTTTTGGCCTTGCTTTGCAGACCAGTGCGAAAATGGCGTCGCAGCGTGTCCTTTCTTAAGAAACTTGCTATAGCCAGCGCAGCAAGTTCTGCCTGTGTTCTATCGCGTCCTCCATGCTGTTTTTCACACGGAAGAGCTCCTGGACCTTAACAGCTCACACGCGGGCGAGAGGCTCTAACCTGAGAAACAGGTCGGGTGCTGGGCCTGCCGTGACATGGCTGGGATGAAGGAGGTGACATCTGCGCCTCTGCACCATCCAAAGAAAAATAGTTCAGTGCTTCAGCTCTGCAAATGGCCTTGTGCGGCGTGCTCGGAACATCGTGGACCGGCATCACGAGACTGCGGCCCGCACAGTGGAGCACACGGCCAGGGCTTTGCATTTCCGAACTTAGCGAGCCTCATGTCTCCTGGAATCATCCGAGTCCTCACCAGAGTCAGAGCTGAGGTGCGTCACTTCCTGAAAGGCTCAGCGTCGTGTCTGGGATGGACATCGATGCACTGGCGGCACATAGCGGCACTAGCGGCACTAGCGCCTCAATGCCTGGAAACTGCTTCAAGGCCAAGCGCTGGCCTGGTACCAAAAGGCGTCCGAAAGGCGTCCAAGCGGGCAGCGCCTGCCTTCTCCACCCTTGCGCGCATTCTCCGCTTCGCCGTCCTGAACGCAGAACGCAGAAATCACCTCGCCTTTCCTCTACTCTTCCTGGCACCGGGGCACCTCCCCCGAGCTGAGTAGTCGCGACGTCGTCCGGGCCAACGACATATCCTTCGTCGCAGCATGGCCGGCGATAGGATGGCCGGCTAACCCAAGATCCCGAAAAGGCGACGACTGCCTAAAACCAGGGTCTGCGAAGCCCATCGAGAAGAGAACGAAAGGGGTGAGAAGCAAGCAAGGCAACCTGTCACACACGAGCCTTCTCACCGAGATCATCCTGTGTGCCGTCCATAGCAAGTCGACCTTTCCTTAATGCATGGTCTCTTCTGGAGACACCACCAGACTTTTTGAAAGCGTCTCGGTGTCGCACGAACGCTCTTGGTAAAAGTCCACGTCCTGCATCTCCCCACACGAAGCAGCATTCCCGGTTCCTTCGGACGGCCTGGTGGGACGATGCCTTGTGTTGGACGAGAGTCGCCTTCAGACACAACTTGCTCACCGTGCTCTCTGGATGACATTAATAGCAAACATCTGAGTTTTCCTACCAGATGCTCTCGCAGAAGTCTGTTCTCTGAGCAAAGGCGGAAAAGCTCTGGATGGTTTTCCAGCTGTCGCCTAAGCCATCGAAGCAAGTTGTCGACCTGTCTGCAACCACAGTGCATGCTGGGTACCAGACCGCAAGAGCCTGGGACGTGCCAGGTGTCTGAGCCGCTAAGACAGATCTTCCGAGGGTAGGGCTTGTTTTCGGCTCGCAGTTCAGCTAACTCTTGTTCTGCAGGACCTGCACCAACAGAGTGCCCGACTCCGACCCCGACCCCCAACACCGAGCACGTGGCCTCCGAAGCCCGTCAGCCCGAAACCCACTTCGTTGGCAGCCTCGGGCCTTGGGTGCTCGATGTTCCTTTGCAAGAGGCCAGGCCGGCTCTTTGTGCTAAGGCTTCTAAGTGTGCGACGCGCTTTCTTCAAAAGAACCTCGCACTGCACGATTCCAGGTCGTTTTTTTTTGCATTCCAGGCCTACACGTCTGGCCTTGTGCCAGTTGTGTTGTTGAGCCCAGTCTAAGTACAGAGCCACAGTCGAGAGCAGTAACAGAGACGTGCAGACCAAGGCCGATGCTGTCTCATGCGGGCAGTGCTTCGTCGGCCATTACGGAGAGCCGCCTCCATCAAGCTGAGCAGCGCATGTTCACTGCAACTTCAGAGTTGCAAAAGGACGAGCACAAGAATCGTTCAATGTAAAGTTGCATATTGCCTACGCCCTGGATGCCCCGGCTGCAACACCGTGTGAACAACAAAAGGCAAAAGACGGGTGCAAACCAGCACACCACGCAGAAAGCGAGAGGTAGAAGCTTGCTATGCACGCGAAGACTTTTGTCGCAGCATCGCGAGCACTGTCAGCAGGGTAGGTATGAGTTTCCAGGTCTGCTTTTGATGTTGTTGAATGAAGGCTCTTCAGTGTCGGATCAATCATGGTCTTGTCCAATGTCGTAACCGAAATCGGCTGCGCTGGGCTAGGCCTGGGCTGGGCTGGGGCTGCTGGGCTGGTGGACTGGGGCTGTGGGTGGGCTGACGCCCCCACCCCCAACCTTGAAGCGTCAGCGCCCCTTGTGCATGCAAGTCTGCAGCCCCTCCCCGAACAAAAAAATGCGCCGCGCAACGCCGCCGCCCAATGACGCTCATGATGCGCCCCTTGCGAATGCCAAGCTGCAGCCGCTCCCGATGCCTTGCACATGCGAATCTGCAGCGCCCCCCCCCCCCCCCCNNCCCCCCCCCCCCCCCCCCCGACGCCCCTTGTGCATGCAAATCTTCCTCAATCAACTACGAGGCTTGCACTCACGCAAGACAATTTCGGTCGGTTTTGGGTGGGGTCCGAAGGCCCACCAGGAGAAACGGATGATGCTGATGATGCGCCCCCCCCCTCCCCCCCATTCAGTCATCTTCTGCAATGATGCGCTCGCTCGCAAGCTCGCTTTCCGTCATCCCACAGCCGAAGTCCCTAAAACGCTAAGCTAGAAGCATTCGATGTTTGCGCCACTGCCTCTCCGATGAGTAAGCCGTAGCTGTAGCTGCGGCTTCGGTCTGAGACATCTGGCCCCAACCTGAAAATCGTTTGAAGCCTCTCCGGCCACAGCCTCAAAGGCGTCTCTGAGAGGCCAACCAGCGCTGGGACGAGTCACAGACCAGACCGTCATAGCCTGCAGTAGCCGACATTGCAACTGCTTGATTTGATTTGCTCGCGACGCCCTCCAACTGCGAAGCCATGATCAATGGACGAGCTGCTCTCGTCTTCCAGACGGCCATCTTCTGCTGCCAGAAACGCCTTGAGCCATCCAGGATTTGGATGATTCTCGAAGGTGCTGCTACGGCGATTCCGTCCCATTCAGGCCTCGATCGTGCCATCCAGCATGTCGGCAGCTTGTTGATTGCTGTCGGTGGACGCACTGCAAAGCTGTTGTCGGAACCTACAGTACAGTTTCTCAGACAGTCTCCGCAGTGCAATGCGATTGCAGCAGGGCAACGGTTCATGTAAGGCTGCGGCACTACGAGCCGCGCAATCAACTCTGGCAGGTAGCAAGCCTTCTTGGCAAAACACTCACGAAAGTCAACGAAACATGACTGCAGGCAGGGCCGTTCAAAGGCACAGATTGGGTTGCGCGGTCCTCCCCAGCCGCGTGGTCGACCAGGAAGCTGAAGTAATCGCGAAGTGCATCAAAGTAGTGCTCCTTCCGCTCCAGCACCATGTTCAAGTACCTGTGAATGTACAAGATCACGGAGCCTGTCTGACAAGCTTCTTAGGATCGCTTCTCTCTCGGCGGTTTTCCATCCAAATCTGGCGACTCACGCTGAAGGCTTTTTGCCCTACCATGGGAAGCAACAGCCACCGAAACACTCAAAGCTTTGTACAAGTAGTGGAGCATGCTGCATTCCAGTTGAATAATTCGGCCCAGAGTTCGGCCGCAATGAAACCACAGTCCTACGCTGGAGAGCTGCCAACCTGGAGCATCAAGGCTGCGCAAAACCTGCTCTAAGCCAAGTGCACTGGAAATGGGCGCCTTGTTCCAATCAAACCTCAGAAGATGGTGTCATTCGCAGCAAGCAATGTAGACCTGTTCCAATCAAGATGCGGGCCTCGGGTGCGAGAAGGGATAAGTCATCTGGTCGCACTCATCTTCCACCTGCTGCCTCTCAAGAAGAAGGAGGCCAAGATAAACCGGAAACTCAAAGCTGCGAGACTCAGACCCTGGCACTGCTGCCCCAGCATGCGTCAGAGCTGCCCGGAGGAACTCATACTGATGAGGTCGGCACCGAATACTTGTGACCTGCTAACGCACGGAACTGCCCAAAGGAAACTTTAGCTCGCCCATTTAAGCCTCAACACGAACATCAGCTTGTATGAGAGCTCGTGCCAGGTCGATGAAGGGCACATCACTTGTAGCAGCCGAATGCCGAAGCCTGTGATTCTCAACCAGCTCTCTCCTCAACAGCCCCAAACTTGCGACTCTGAGGCTTCCACGAGAGTTCCAGCTGCAGCACCACAAGACCGGGAAATTTAGCTCGGAAGACGTCTGCAATTTCCTTCGCCGAGAATGCCCAGTGCCTGACACACGCGCACAATCAAAGGTGCCTGCGCAGTTCCAAAGCCACCAGCTGAGTCTCATGCCCTTCAGTGCCAAGTGAGGCTCTGACGATTGAAACCTTGGATCTGAGCCTTCCCTCCCATAGCAAAACAGCGGCCCAAGCTTAAGCTTTCTGCATGCTGAGGGAATCGTGGGAAGGTGCTGATGAAGTCGCCGAAATCCATGCTTCCACGCCTGGGTTTGAAGATATCGGGTTGATGCCCGGCCTGCTACAACAAAATCCCGACACTGCAGGGGTGAACGCTATTGAATTTGACAAGCCCTCAGCAATCCTATATCCGCCGACCCCTGCTGGGGCGGCGCCAGTGAAATCCCGAAGGGTTGGTTCTTGCTTGTCTTCCCGTCAAAAAGAAGTAACAGGCTTCAAAAGTTGGCTACCCCACCACCCACACCGCTTTCAGCGCTTCGCCTACACTGCC